CACTATAAGGGATTAGAGTATACTAAACCTTACACATTATACAGGCTACACTAACAAGACATTTAGGCAGTTCGTTTAACTATTATACGTGATGTACGTTTTTTGGGGGGTGATTAATGAAACTGTTCTAAAATGCGACATTAATTTTTTGATGACCTAATACTATTTCACATAACTCCAAACTCCTCAGTATTACATCAAACAATTATCAGTTACTTATTCTACATAACTACAAATTATTACTACAAACAATTATCAGTTATTTATTCTACATAACTACAAACAGTTATTACTACGAACAATTATCAGTTACTTATTCTACATAACTCCAAACACCTCAGTATTACTACGAACAATTATCAGTTACTTATTCTACATACTATCCTAGAGAAAGAAACAATAACATCAAATCAAAGTTAACACTGCAGCTCAAGATCTACTTGATGATATCTCTTTAGTTGACATTTTCTTTGATCCTCATGTCATTCAGTAGGCAAAAATCTTGCTCTATAGAAGCTACACTGCGTATTATATGATGTCAAATACCTTACATAGTAGAAAAAAGCATCTTGCACTAATCATAGTTTTATTGACAATAACACCATATAACACGTAGCATTCCAGAAATAAACAAATATAACAACATTCATTATAACTCACACATATCATTCAAGAAAGAAAGAGACATAAGACATGATATGGTGGAGGTTAACTAACAACCCCGAAAATTAAACAACTTATCAGAAAAACACATGCTCTTGTATGTACCTGAGCCATTAGAGCTGCTAGTTCTAGAGCTAAGTCTGGACTCAAAGGAAACCTGCTTTGGACAACTTCTTCATTCACATGGTAGGCTGTAAGTAATCTCTCTTTATCTGTTTCTGCTTTTAATAACTGATGGAAACAAAGTCTGAAATGAAAAAAAAAAATGATATATTTAATGATGGCATAAAAGTTAGTAAACATTTCTCACTGTTGCAATCTGAAACAGCCAGCAGATACAAGCAGATTTCTGATTTGATAATGAATAAATGTGTTTATTCTTTAAGTGACATTCAAAGCAGTTACTTTAATCAGTGAGATTGAAAAAAAACAAATAATCATGCAAAATATATTTCAAAAGTGTTCATAAAATAGAATTTGAGAACAGTTGAATGATTAGTGTGAAAAGATGAAACATATTTTAAATTACAGTTGATAATGTTCTTCACTTGTACTGTATAACATATCATTCAGTAATCTTACCCAAGATTTTGTAACATCAGTTAATTACTTTTCTCTGCAAGTTGTCCAGTACACTGGAAGCACACAAGTGATATTTGTGAATATTTTTCGTGACAACAATGTTTATACTTAAATTTTTAACTCTAGGAGATAACCGTGAAAAATTATTTGTTTGCCTTTTTTTTTTTTATGCTCTAGGCTGATTTATATGATTCTTTCCAAGACTGTATTCAAATGCAAAGCTACTTTTATCACGTAAGCTTTTGAAACAAAATTCATTCAAATCTTATGTTGATATGCAAGTCCACAAATCACTAGAACCCATATATTAAACAAAATATGTTTCTATGGAGGGTTTTTGTTAATTATTTAATAGAAGCCATTTACATGAATCATTATTATTTTAATGAATCCAACTTACAACACGCTGCATAAAAAAACTTGAACAGAATCTTTCCACATGACTCTAGGAGTTGGTTAGAAGTTTCATTAAGTGAAAATTAAGGCTTAGATATGAACACTTTTATCTTTCGTTCTTGTAAATTGGAATTTCTGATTCAGTAGAAAACCATTTAGATATTCCATGCTCCATTCGGATGGAAAACATTTTGTGCGTAAGGTTACGTTAATGAAAACATTTCTGTGCCTAATGATGTAACAATAGTGGATACATTTTTTAAAGCTTCTCTTTCACTTGTAATAGGGTGTAAGTTGGAACTGCCAATGTTTATCATATTTTGACAATAATAATTTAAAATGACATACAACACATATATTAAAGGAAAAAATAATTGTAAAAACTAGTTAAGTCATTGTTTCTTTCTGGTATCAGTATAAACACCACTAATTCAGCTTTGATTTTGTTCCATAAGGTAATAATATAAAATAAGATTTTTTTTATTAATCTTCCATGGTTTATGAGAGAAATCTATGTCAATTTTGATAACTTAGTTGTTCTTCATGAGCATATAATCCATAAAAAAAATAATATAAAAAGGAATTATAAATATAGAATATGAATGTTCAGGTAACTGCAGAAAAAATGAGGGAATAATTTAAAGAATAGCTTGATCAGAATCATCATGGTTTTGGGAAAATATTCTAAAAGTTTTACCTGAACTTCTCAAGAACAATTGTATGACCAGGTGGGGCAGATCCCTTACCATCCAATGATAATTATTGAAAACATAAATGCAGGTTACTTTGTAGTTCAAGACACATTACACATATGAGTTTATAGTCACGCAGATTAAAGTTTTATCCAGACCATTGAAACTGCCATTAGCCAACAAACTTTTATTGAATATAAAAAAACTAAACGATTATAATGCAATTATAATTATAATCTGTGTCTTTCAGTAACATTCTTCATTACAATACTTTAAATAGATTTGTAAAAAACATAAACAATAATACAAGCATGGCTATGGATAATATAAAGCATGGTATATCAACCAATAGAGAAAAAAAAATAGATGTACGATCCTGAAAAGAAGAAACTGTTGGTGAAGGCTGATAAAATATAAGTAACATACCATGTATGGGTACAGCATGTTTTACCTTAAAAATCATTTTCAAAGAATATAGAAAATAGCTTAGTAAAGCATTTAACAGTGTTACGAAGGTTAAATCCATCTGGTGTCAAAGCAAATGGCACGCTGTTCTCATTTCTTGCATACCCCAAGGACTGAAATTCTACTGTTCTGAACACGATGGTGGAGTGATTAGGAATTCTTCATAGAGCTTTTATGTCCAATTGTTCTTTAGAAGATAGTTAAGTTTGTTCAAATTCTGTTTATTCATGAAATTTTGAATGAGTATTAAAGATCCCACTTTAGTGACTTTCCTATGTTTCTTGAGTTCAGAAATGTTATGTTTAAGTGGACTTTTGAAGTGAGCTACTTATGATTTCTCTAATCGGATAACCAATATTGGTCTGTAGTTAAACATGGTAGATCGTGTATTTTGATCTCTAATTAAAAATTGCAGTTTTCAATTGTTTGATACATAGTACATATCATAAATACTTTCCACGTTTAGATCCACTAAAAAAATGGCAAATTGTTCAATAAGGTTATCTTCAGTTTTAGACAAAGGTGAAAGTAAGAGGCAGACTTTAATTCAGTTTATCCTTCAGGGTCCACCTATTTATTCCCTGCTCTAGATTGTAGGTTTCAGTTCACAGAAATATTCTATTAATACTGTTACGACAGCGGTGGTCACGTGATGCTAATAACACGTCATATTCTCGAAGGTTCATGAAGCGTCGAGCTTTTACTAGATTTCGGTATTCTTGTATATATAAGACCCCCAAGAAGTGATGGCAACAATGTAATTGAACTGCAGACAGAGATTGACGATTGAGTCGAGCACGTGAGTCGTTCGTTGTGAATTATAGCGTTTGTTATAGAGTGACTGTGGAAATTAAGTGTATTGCAAAGTTGTATTTAGAAAGAATAAACCAGTTTTATTTAAGAAAGGACTTGTATCGCTAAAATTTCTTCGGAAAGAAATTATACGGAAAATTAACGAGTGACCAGAGGCGTAACAAATTGGTGTCAGAGAGTGGGACAGAAAAGAAAGAAGAAAAAATGGAAACAAGAAGTGGCAAATCAAACTACAGCTTAGCAGATTTGATGGCAGCAATACTTGAACAACAAAAGAAACAAGAACAAGAAAATAAACAAG